CATCAAAGTGGACTGGAATCGAGAAACTTCGTCGCCATTTGCATCCTCTAAAGTTTCCCGCCGAGGGAAAAATCGCAACATTAAGCGAATAATTCGCCAAAATTCACGAATTAATTAGAGATAATATTCGAGGACTGCCAAATACCTGTCGTCGTTGCATAAACGCGAAGAATATTCATCAAAGTTGACTCAAATCGAGCAACTTCGAAGCCATCGCTACTTCGAAAGCTTCCGGCTGATGAAAGAATCGCAATACTAAGTGAACAATTCGCCAAAAATTCACGAATTAATTAGCAATGATATTCGAAGACTGCCAAATACCTGTCGTCGTTGGATAAACGCAAAGGATATCCGATAAAATTAACTCGAATCGAATAACTTCAAAGCCATCGCTATTTTCGAAAGCTTTCGACTAATGAAAGAATCGCAGACCGAAGTGATCGATTCGCCAAAAATCCACGAATTAATTAGCGACAATATTCGAAGGCTGCCGAATACCTATCATCGTCGAATAAACGCGAAGAATATCCATGAAAGTTGACTCAAATAGAGTAACTTCAAAGCCATCGCTATCTCCGGAAGCATCTCGTTGATGAAAGAATCACAGACAGTAAGTTGTAGCTTTGGCTTGGCCAAAAATCTGCCAATTAAATAGCGACAAGATTCATCTACTGCTCCGGGAAAAATCGAGTTGGTTGGCCGGTGCATTTCGCATAAGCTTGCCAACTTCCGCTCGACTGCCGCGCGAAGCGGACCGCGGTACTCGCGGAACCCGCGAGTTTCGTTAACGCGGGAACATTCTCGGGAAAACACAATTTCACGAGACAGGCCAGAGCTTCCCGTCCTCTCTCCTAAGCGATTATCGAATTCCCGGAAACGTTTCCTCGACCGTGGCGTCCATCGCGCGTATTTTTCACCGACGGTCGTACTTTCGGATATCGGCAGGATGATTGATAACGCGAAAACTGGGTTGCGGATTTATTTCTTCCCTTTTTTTTTCCCGCCACCATTGTTTCCCTGTTCACTTGGTCCCTTTGTTCGCGCTTTCACGGACCGATTGCCCGTTCGCCTTGCCGCCCGCACCTGTATTTGTACGCGCGGCTACGGCCTTTCCTGCATTTTCCTTCGCCCTTTGCCGCCCGTTTCTCACGCCGAATTTCCGCCTCGCATCTTCCAAAACGAAACTTCGCGATCGCCTTCTTCCCGCTCTTTCGCGACACGCGAAACTACCCCCGTGTGTTTGTTGCGAATTTTTTTAATTACGTTTCATCCCCTACGTTCTACGGGGGGGGGGGGCAAAAAACGAAGGGAAAGAATCGGTGGAAAATCGATGGAAAATCGGAGAAAGAGATGAGAGATGGCAGGAAGCGAAACGAAGGAAGTTGAAGCAAGTTGATGGAAGTTTGCAAGTGAAGATCGACGATACAACGTGTCTCTGTAATATACAGTAGTCACGAAAGTGTTCGAACGCTATACATATTTTAAGCGAGTACTTCATCTTTAATCACGAGTCTCGCTCGTCGTCGCGGCTTTTCATCGTGAACCAAAGATGAGTTACTTTTGTTTAAAATTGCTATAAATTTTAGATACTCGAGTAACTTTGTTGTAAACGAAATAAATTTATTCCGTTTCTGCGAGATTTTATTATTAAATCAGAGTATAAGGGCTTAATGAAAATGTATTTACACGTGCATCGATGTTATTTTATTCGCAGATATTACTTCGCGTTGATGAAAACATCGATCAAAGTAACGGAACAACAATGCGAGCGAAATTTTTCAAATAAAATATGTTTAACTTTTAGTGCTCTATAGTAGAAATTTCTCTGTGTGAGATCACGTTTAAGAAGCAAAGAGCATCATTCAAACTGTAATCGCTGATTTTGTTCGATCAAAGTCATTGCCTGCGGACAAATAAATTACTCTGCGCGTAACTCGTTGAAATCCGAATTTTGGGGAATTTTGGGGAATTTTTGGGGAATTCTTATCAAATACTGCGCTAGGACGTGTTACGAATATTTCCAATTACATCGGTAATTAGGAAAGCGGTGTCAGTGAAAAATTCGATGTAAAAATAATTTTACCACTCGTTCGCGCTGCGGAAAAACAGCGAAAACTTGAATCGCTCGCAACTTTACGGTAATTAATTTTTTTAATGCGTTCTACACGCGAATCCTATTCCCGCATATTATCAAAGGGGCCCTGTCCGACACGTGAAAACTACCACACACGAGTGGCAAGGACCACCTGGTCTTAGAATGCCCTAGCTGTAACCTGCACCGCCGCAAGCACGAACTGGTGCCCCAACTTCCGGAAAAGTTGAAAACCTGGTCTCCAACGAGATACGCAGCCTACTGGGATTCGTCGTGGGAACAAAGCTAATTGGCAAATTGCAACAGAAAATCACTTGAACGACGCTGCTACAATAATATTAACAACTTCATAGCGGATACAGCGAAAATTAAATTAAAAATCCGATTAAATTAAATTAAAAAAATATATATATGAAATTTTTAGTATTCGAAAGGCAAACATACACTACTTAAGCCAATGAGCCAGCTTCGATAATCAGCAACGAGAGTTTATTTAATTCCTTCTACAATTAGACTTCGGACAATTAGATGGGGGTGAAAGAGGAAGGCGTAGAACGAGGAAAGGGAGAAAAGAAACGAAACGTCGAAACAAATGTGTGGTAAGAGAGAAAATATCCGAGATCGGTGCTACTAGTTGCTCATGAGCGAAAGAGCTGGAAAGAAGCTCGGAGATTTGGAAAGCGTAAGGATACGTCGAGGCTTTCTTCGTCGTCCAATGCTCTCTTCCGACGATGGTATTGTATATTTTAAAAGCACGTGCAAGCCCGATACGGCCTCTCGCATTCCGGAAACCACTTAGCCTGATTGAGAAAACGTTTCTCCGAGCATGATCGAGGCTATCCGATCCGGTTAGGGACTATTGCCGAGCGGGTCGTGCAGAACGAGGCTTGCTCGTCATCGGAACGCAGCTTTCGGTTTGAGAGCTCGGCTCAACGAGTCTTGAAAGAAATTTTCGAATTTATATTCAATTTTCGAACGCGTCGCGTGGAAAAATCGGAAAAACGCGCGCGATGTTTCGCGGATCGAGATCTATAGTCGATTAAAAAATCTTTTGCCGCGGTTAGAAAAATGAGGGTGGAAAAAAAAGTGGGAAGTAAAAATGACGGTGTAGTATGGAAATGATTAATGCGATAAATAGAAAAGAATTTATATTTAATTTTCGAACGCGTCGCGTGGAAAAATCGGGAAAATGCGCGCGATGTTTCGCGAACCGAGATCTAGAATCGATTAAAAAATTTGTCAACGCGGCTGAAAAAAATGAAAAAGGAGAAAAAAGTGGGAGATAAAAATGACGGTGGCATGTAAAAATGATTAATGCGATAGATAGAAAGGGAACGTGTTCAAACTCACCGCCAAGCAGGATGTGCACGAGGAGCGGGAGAAATCTGTATTGGCGCACTTTCGTCATGATTCTTGATTTTTCTACATGAACTGCTTTCCTAATCGCAGAATGTCCAGATCGCAGTTGTCCGTTCCTCCGAACGCAATTCGACAGGTAAACACAAACCCGCGAGTTTCGAAAGTTCGTTGGATCGAGATCGAATAAACGTAAACGAGCGTACCCGGTAAACAAACGCTTTTTCGTCGGGACGTAGAAGAAAAAAGAGAGAAACAAGCACGGTTACTAGTGGAGAACACGATAAATCGACTAGTCGAAAATGTTCGAACGGAAAAGGCTGTTCGACTAACGAGAAGTCGAGGAGAAGTTGCGCGGACGAAGTCTCGGCTTCGACTGGCGCGCACCAACGTATCTGACCCCTCTGATAACCGGCCAGCCCCCTCTGGTTCAAACCCGCCGCCGACCCCCCTCTCTATCTCTTTCTCGCTCCCCCTCTTTCCCGCTACGTTTACCTGACTCCCTCTCTCGACGGCTCCCTCGCCGTCATCCAGGAGACACCAACCCCGACAGGAACCACTCGCTCTCCGTGCTCCAGTACCGCGAACTAATTTGCGATTTAGCGTGAATCGTAACCACGCGCTAAAAGAACAATGAATTTATCGCGCCGAATAACTTCCCGTCCCGAAGAACCACGCGGCGTCTTCGCAAACGCATTATCAGACCATCGAATTCCGCTGTCGCGGCGAAACGCGAGATGGAAATTGTTGCACCGAGTTAGTAGAATCCGACTGTACTCGAGACGCTTTCACTGCCCGCGAAGATACTCCCACTATGCGTTTCTAAGATAAACCAAACGCTTGAATAACCTAGCTTTTACGATGCAAGATGAAATCTACTATTTTCATTTTTTTCCCGTTTCGTGTTGTTATAAAGCTGTAGTGAAAATTGGCGAGGCGAAGGAGCGAGAATTTATCGTCACGATTTAATTTCCACTTAATCGGTATACACGGCCAGCAAAAAGTTGGAAGATCGAAACAAAAGTATCGTTCATTCCGATATAGATTGCGATATACATTATTGCCGAGTAGCTAAATTTTTCACTTTTTTAAACCGAAATTTCGAATTTAGCGAAGAATATTGCAAGAGTTTATTTATTTTACGTATTTATCACTTATCAAATTACAATTTTAATTCGATATGAAACGGCAAATTAAAAATTACTACGGCTTCTTATAAACCACTAAAATTCTCACTGAAGCTAGGGGAAAATTTAATCGAGAAATTTAATTGAATGAATAAAAAGCAAAAGTGTATAACGATTTTGTACAGGTGCATGTCAAAATTAAACGAATAATTTAAAAATAATCGATTCGTGCTGATAAGCGATTGCTCGTTGCAGTTTGAACGGTCTTACCGGATCCAAGTAAACCGGATCGAAACATTTCTATATATATACAAACACACCGTAACCAGCCAAGGAGGAAGGGATAAAATTTCCGTTACGAAGATTGCGCTTTGTGAATCGGAAGTGAGGTCTATAGTTGAAAATCAGCCGAAGATATTAACGTGACGAGTTTTCTGTGTAAACTAGACGTTAGCGCCTCTCGTGAGTTGCGCAACAGTCGCGAGGTCAGCAGCATTGTAACTTTTGGCGCCAACCCACTGCAAGGGGCTATATAGTCCATTTCCAAAACAATTACCTTGCAAAATTAGTACGTATAAGAATGGCAATATTAAAATTGCTTGTTTATTCATATGTGACAGTCAGAAAAAAGTTTTACACACATATTTGTAAACATAACCTTGGTATACTTCTAGTGCCGCCACGAAGAGCAAAGAAACGGCCAGCTCAAACTCCTGAAAAAGGTGCTCGTGAGCCAAAACAGATACGAAAAAAACAAGGTAAGTTACTATTTCGGCAATATTCAGTAATTTTTTAACGCAATATTTTTTGCGCCAAAGAGATACATTCATTAGAAGAATTTTATTGAAAGTATAAAACCGCGAGGCACATGGATGTGTTTAGGCAATGTGTTTCGCGATCGATAATTATTGCTTCCTTTTAGTTGGTAGTTGGAAGTATACTTAGTATCCCTTGAAAAATTTCGTGAAACCGTCGTAATAATTTTTCTGTTATAGTGCCGTGAATATTACGCGTCCTACGGCAAACGTGGATCGGCACAATCATAATCGTACTTCTCTAAACCAAATACTGTAAAATAGCTAGACATTTGCATGCATTTCACAGAATTAGTTGTGAAACCCGATTTACGACGACCTGCGACTGGTGGAGTATTATTAGTATTTGGACAAGGCGATGTTGGACAACTTGGTTTAGGAGAAGAAGTTGTTGAAAAAACAAGACCAGCAGTTATTCCTGGATATGAAGATATTGTATCCGTAGCAGCTGGTGGCATGCACAACGTGTGCCTGAGACAAACTGGAGAAGTATTAACATTTGGCTGCAATGACGAAGGGGCATTGGGAAGAGATACGTCTAAAGATGGTTCTGAGAGTGAACCAGGTGCTGTTGATTTACCTGACAAAGCTATTCAGGTGACAGCTGGAGATTCCCATAGTGCTGCCTTGTTAGAAGATGGACGAGTATTTGCATGGGGATCTTTTAGGGTATAATTTTCTACTGTTTTATACATTAACTTTAATATTTTATCAATCAGATTAACTTTGAGAATTAAATAATAAAATATTATAATGCATTTTTAAGGATTCTCATGGCACCATGGGTCTAACATTAAAAGGAAATGAACGATTTCCGATAGAAATACTGCCTAATGTAACGATAGTTAAAATATCATCCGGTGCTGACCATTTAGTGTTACTTGATAAAAATGGGCATGTTTATACATGTGGTTGTGGAGAACAAGGTCAATTAGGGCGAGTACCTGCTAGAGCAGCTAGTAGAAATACCCGTCATGGTATGGGTCCTTTATTAACCCCTGGTTTAGTAGAATTTAAAGTTACAAAGAAACTAGAATTCAATGACATTTGGGCTGGAACATATTGTACATTTGCTAGAGAATATCAAAAAGGTGATATATATGTATTTGGATTAAATAATTATTATCAAATTGGTAAGTTAAAACAAAGCATTTCATAAATAATAATAAATAAGAAAGAATTCTAAATGTACGTTATTTGATCATTTTTCAGGCCTAAAAGATCCTGTAACTCATTTTCACCCACAAATTTCAAAAACCTTTAGTGGAAAAGTTTGGAGACATATTAGTAGTGGGCAACATCATACTATTGCCCTAGATGAGTCTGGCCAAGTATTTGTTATGGGCCGTAAAGAATATGGCCGTCTTGGACTTGGATCTAATTGTTTGGATGCAAAAGAATTAACACTAGTTCCTAGTTTAAGTTCCTTTAAATGTGTTGACGTAGCAGCAGGCAGTGCCCAATCTTTTGCTGTTACTGAATTTGGTAGCATTTCTTTCTAAAATACCAGCTTTTTCAATACCATTATTGCATTGTTAAACATACGGCATTTTCATATCTCTATACAGGAGAATTATATTCGTGGGGTATGGGTTCGAGTGGTCAACTAGGTACAGGAGAAGAGGAAGATGTTGAAGAACCTACGTTAGTCAAAGGAAAGCAGTTGGAAGAAAAAGCTGTAATAAGAGTTGCAGGTGGAGGTCAACATACTTTGGCATTAGCAACAATCCATCCAGTGAAAGAAAAAACTGTTGGTTAATAATAAATGACATATTAAATTTAAAGTGTTTCACATATGTGATAATAATTTGGACAACGAAAACAGAAGAAAAAGTTTAACGAATTTGTCAAAAAATTCGTTAAAAAAAGATTTTTATTCTCCTTGCATAAAAGTTACATGATAGGAGAAAATGTAAGTAAAATTACTTCTGACGGTATACCGTAATTTCGATCTTAACGCGATACTTAAATCTGTACATAATTTTTTGTGCTACCAAAAATTATATCATTATGTTTATAATGATTAATATATCGACTGACTTTTTGATTGCATTGTTATTTTTTCTACTTGATTATGTATTACAATGAAATAAACATTTTTCTACTTGTGAATTATGTTATTAAAAATATTCATTTTTGTTATATCAGATCACAATAGACCTGTATTAAGTTTCTGTTATTTAAAATTATGCTTTAACGTACCGAAATATTTAAAAAATGATTAACCATGCTTCTATTATTTACATTGTACAATTTGCTAAATAATAAAATTATTATTACAATTTATTCTAGTTTTCTACAAAAAGTACAAAGTATTTTAATGTTCCTATAAGTATAATTAATGAGAGTATCAAATTATATTCTATAAAAAAGTCACAAATCTCCTAAAGAAAAGTCTACGAAATGCACAAAAATCAAATTTTGATCAATATTTCTCTTATTAAGGTAATATTTTACTTTATTTAACTTGGTTTTGCTTGTTCTACAATTTTCCCTTCTTGCAACGAAATTTGAAGTTTTTTCCCAATACGTTCCTGCACATCTAGATATTTAGCAATACAACGATCAAGGCATACTGATTCACCTTTACTTAATTCTGAGCTGGTATACTTTGGTGGAATACATTTCTTATGACATGCTGCTGTCATACGATGAAACATATCAGTCATCATTTCCATCTCTATATCTTGTAGCAACTTCAATTGCTCTTCACTAATCTGAGGTAATGCAGCCATTTTTTGTGCAGTTGCTATTTACTGTTTTATAATTATCTAAATACTCAAATATACGACTTAATTAATAGTTTTAGACTCTTGCATTAATAATCTCTTTTGTTTCATAGCTTTAACTCTTGAATCATGTACTTCCTTCCTTGCTAACTTAAAACTGTATACTCCTATACCAGTAGCTACAATCCTGCAAAAAGAATTAGACAGTAATAATAGTAATAACGATAATAATAAATGTATAGAAATATAAATATTAATCGATTTTAAACAAATATTTATATTATAGAATTTCTTACGAGAAAGGTTAGTCACCACAGGCTATTATAACAAAATAGCAATTGTAATGTCTTACATTTACATACCTACCATCCAATCGCTATCTTCTGCCAAGTTTGTAATAACATGCTTTTTTAAATGGTATAAAATATTTTTACCGTGAAAATTAATTATATATGTACCTGTACATTCATTCATACGGCTTTGCATTTCCTAAATTACGCTACACTGAACCATGTGTCTATAGTTATATAATTTTCAGCATAGATGCAGTACGACATAGATTTAACATCTTATGGAACTCGAACTATAATGCCGACTTTGAAATCAATATTTGCCTTTGCAGCTTACTAATCACGATATATTAGATTAAAGCATTATTAAAAAAACACGATTATCATGTTAAATTATATCAAAATGTAATTTTTGGATATAAGTTAACAAAAATTGTTGTCTGAAATTAATTACGGCAATACTAAATACTGCAATGTTTCACTGCTAAGTAACTCGTCTTAATATAGCCATATGTTTTCACGAAAATAGCCTTAATTTACACAAAATGTATACATCGAAATGTTTATTGTTATAATAAGCTGTTTTTTATGATATTAATAGCTTTCATAAGTTTCTGTTTGATTTTTTGTTTCCCTACTGCTTCACTCATAATTAGTTATTACTATGATATTCTTCTATATTAACACTATCATAAATTTCACATCAAAAGAAATGACGTTTACCGTATATAGTTTTAATTCAACGTCATTGCTTTAGTAATTTCATTTTCCATTGCATTAATAACGTTGGCAATATAGTGAATTGATAACACAAAACTAGTAAAAGAATATCAAATCTCTCAAAGCATATAGCACAAAATATATAAGCTTTTTGTTATATTATAAATTGTCTGTTTTAATATTAATTGATTTTAGTACCGATACATTTTTTAAACATTTTGTGTCTTTCATTTAAAAGAAAAAAAGTGCAAAGTAAGAAATACTAATAAAAAAATAGGAAATAATAAAAAATAAGAAAATGAAAAGTTATATAGTAGTAACTTAAAATAAAATAAACGTAAATTGTACTACATGTTATTCAAAAATTCTTTAAACATAATTGATAGACTCTTTGTATCATAATTGATAGAATTGAAAAAGATTAAATAATTACTGCAGTATTTTGATTTTTTCTTTGTAAATATATGTATATGAACATGTATGCTACGATTTAAATACTTGAAGTACTTGAAAGCTAGTGAATTTTACATTCTATAAGTTTACACATTATACAATTAATTTAGTATAGGTATAACTCGTATTGTAAAACAGTGGAATCAACGTCCAAGCTACAGTTGTATAAAGGTAATTGTGTTTAAATGAAAACGTTAACAATTGCGGCGTATTTTGTAATATCTTCTGTTATTGTTAAGTGATGTACTTATATACAATGTTAATTCATAAACATAAAAATTGAAGTGAATTAATATGATTAATTCATAAGTGCAAATGTAAAATGATAAAACAAAACAGTTACTTTATGCATAATATTGACGTTACATGGAAAACATTCGTTCAAGAATCTTGTAATGCTCCGACAATATCGACAAAAAAGGAAGATCATTGTTTAGGTTTTCAAAAAGATGAAGCAAGGAAGATATATGAAGAAATTATAAACGAAAAATGTGATGTGACTTCACAAGTTGAACATAAGTGTAATAACTCAAAAACGTGTATTAATCGAAGTGCAATATCGAAATCGTTCCCGCCAAATGAAAAAGCTAAGAATAACCAAATCAGTAAAGAAAAAGTGACAATTAATGCTATATTAAAAGCAGTCGAACAAAAAGATTTGAAATTTCTATCAAAACATGTGACATGGGAAAACGTTAATTTGACTGATGATTTTGGCTGGACTCCTCTTATGTCAGCTGCATATTGTGGCCATTTTGACATTATAGAATTTTTATTAAATCTTGGTGCTAACAGAAAAGCTAGAGAGAAATCTGGTCTTACTGCAGCACAATTAGCATTAAAAAAAAATTATTTGAATATAGTTGCATTGCTTAAGAAAAAATCAGAATCGACAACTACCAAAGCTTTGTCAGAAACTATTACGAATGATACAGAAACAAATATTGATTGTTCATTACAGATGAGATCAGAGTTTGCAAAACTTTTGAAAAATTGCAGTGATACTAACTATAAAATTAATGATAATATGGAAGAATGTTCCAATGGAGCTACAGGATTTTATTGCAAAATTTGCAAGGTTAATTTTCATCAAACAACATGGAAAAAGCACGAAACATCTACACTTCATATTTTTAATAGTAAACCAAAACTAACTAATACTATGTATGGAATATCGAAACAAAATAAAGGTTACCAAATGCTTTTAAATTATGGGTGGGACGAACAAGGTGGTCTTGGTCCTATAGGAAAAGGAATAAAATATCCTATTAAAACCTGTTTAAAATATGATAGAAAAGGAGTAGGACAGTCCAATGAGAAAGACTACAAAGTGACTCATTTTAAACCAGGAGATACTACAGCAGTTAATGATTTTAAAATACCTAAACAAAAGTGTTTAAAAAAAAAAGACAGAGAAAAGTTACTTGATAGGGAAATTAGAAAAGAGAAAGCATTGCGCATTGCTTTGGCATAAAAAAATATACAAGAATTTTATAAACTGTTAATATTTCATAATGCTTCTAAGACTGAACACAATGTAATTTTTGTCTTTTATCTACTTTAAATGTACATGTACATATATATATATATATATATAAAATTCAATTTTCACATTTATAATACTATTTGTTACTTTTACAAAAGCATCTTTTCTATATGAAATGGTAATCAATTAATATAATTTTTGTTATAGATGAAATTTGATCAGCAGGCAGCTTTAAACCATATACAGCAGGTAGAAGAAAAAGCAGGTGAGATTCTCACTGATCGACAAGAAATAATTGCTTTGGATAAAAGAAGGAATGACGATAGAGTTGGAATGAGGGCATTGCAAAAGGAGAATTGTAGAAAAAGTTGGATAACTGTTGGACCATTATTACTTAAGATGCCATCTAAAAACGCAGAAGAACTACTTATTAAAGGTGAATCTATTGTTTTTCTTTATCTTAATATTTCTAGGAAGTCAATAACAATTTTCAGTTTTTATTACATTACAGATCAAAAAGAATGTGACATTGAAATTAATAAATTAAGAAGTAATTTAAAAATTAAAGTAAATGAATTAAGAGATTTAGAACTTAATTCACCTGTTCCCGGTTTAATGTTGATACCCATGTCTCATAAAGAAATGTTGGCAATGTCACAAGTTTTGGGTCAAGATTCTTGAATGTATTATAGATGTAATGAGGACATTAAGAAGAATAATCTAATAATAATAGTAGTAGTAGTATAAATTGTAATAATAGTAGTAATAATAAGTGTTACAATGGGTCTCAACAGTATTTAATTACCCTTAGTAACATATTTATTAAGTGTTATATTTAAGTATTGTGATTAGTATAATTAGTATTAAGTACTATATTTATTAAGTTACAGATTTATGTATTTATCAAAAAGGCAGTATACAAATTTTTTAATCTGTTTTCTGAATACACCAAAAATGTAAAAATATATATCCTGATTTATGGTGATTTATTTTTTCATATTTATAATATGTATATTTGTATAATAAATAAATATCAGTTGTGTGGTTTTTATAGTAAATGATTTATAACTCGATAAATTGAACCTTTTTATCTATTATTTAATTCTTTATGATTTGTTAGGGATAAATTCCATCTACTTTTGTGTGGTATTAAAAGCAGATTAACCAATATTCCTTAATAAGAAATTTCGATTCTAACCTAATAATCAAATGTAAGGTTAATGGTACAGTAATAGCATGGTAGAGTAATTGTGATACTAATTTCTTATAACTATTACGTGTTTAAACCTAACCATTTTATTGTATTTTCACATCTTTGTTGAATCTAAAGATGAATATACTTATTGAAATGTTTTTTAAATTGATTCTTTCATGGTTTGTTGTTATATCCAACGGAACGATGATACTATATGAGGATACGCAACAAATGTATATGTACCTTAATGTTTTGACGATAGCATGTATTTCAATATATAGTTAATAAATTGTACGAAATAACAAATACCTAGTGTGATACACGTGTATCTAACGATTTAACTTTGTTATCAAATAATCAGTACACGGAAATTAAAATTATACATATAATAATAGACGATGACATCTCGAGAGATATTAACTATTCAGTTTGGTCATTATTCCAATTTTATTGGTACTCATTGGTGGAATTTACAGGTATTTTGAAAAGATATGCCGATCACAGAATATTACAATTATTTAATTTTTATTTAAACACTTTTAGGAATCTAATTTCTCTTATGATCCTGATAATCCATCTGAGCTAAATCATGATGTTTTATACAAAGAGGGTGAAAATTTAAGGGTATTAATGTATAATAACATATCTTAAAAGTAATGTTATAAACATTTGTAATTTGTTACTGAAGATAATCGTGTTTTTATATTTTTTCAGAAACAAGTTACTTTTACTCCTAGACTGTTGATTGTAGACTTGAAAGGAGCATTTGGATATTTGAAAGAAGAAGGAACATTGTATAATGTTAGTCAGTCACAAAAAGCTCCTCAATCCTTATGGGATAACACAAAAGTGGAAATTTTGAAAGAAGATGCAATCGATAAACCTCCATTTATCAAGAGTTTGGATGAATCTTCTGAAATTTTAGATTCAGCATCAGCATCGTATGATATAGAAAATAATATTAATTCATGGGTGGATTATCTATTACCTAGGTTTCACCCTAGAACATCAAATATCATTAAACAATATAAACATGGTTGTGCAACAAATCCATTTGATGTTTTTACGTATGGAAGAAATTTATGGAATACAGAACAATTCTCAGATGACTTTTCTGAAAGGATAAGAGTATACGTTGAAGAGTGTGATTTGATGCAAGGTTTTCAGGCATGTGAATCTTTATATTTATATAAGTAATTTATATTATATTATATTGTAATATTGATAGTATTTCAAAATATAGATAATTCTAGATTCTGTGGATGGATTTGCTGGAATTGGCACATCGTGTATGCAACACTTAAGAGATGAATATGGAAAAAGTATTTTGTCATTTCCATGTATGGACAGTAAAAAATCAGAACCTTCTACATCCAATCTGATTAAAGCACTTAATACGGCTTTATGTTGGCAAAGTGTAGAAGAATATGCTTCATTATTTAGTCCGCTTTGTTGTGGACAAACAGTTTGGCCTCAAATCGGGGATCCGCGTATATTTGATCATTTGACATATAATTCTGAATTGAAGTATCATAGTAGTGCAATTTTAGCAACTGCTTTAGATACATTAACCATTAGATACAGACGAAAGGAATATCCAAATGTACTTTTATCTGATTTATGCGCGGATCTTAATAAACTGGGTCGAAAAGCTGTCGTAACGAGCTTAACTTTACCATTTCCAATGACCGCAAAAACAGATTTAATTGACGTACTTGACGATTTTGAAGGAACACTGTGGACAAGTTTAACACCAAATTGTGATGTACCAATGGATAAAAGTATGCAAAGCATAGTATTACGCGGAATTTCTGAGGAAAGGTTAAAACGACCTATTTCCCATGCAATGAAACAAATGTCAAAACCAGCATATAAGTGTTCTACTGTACACGAAATGATGATGCTCTATTTATCATGTACTTGTCATGCATCAGCAACTTATTTATCGAATATCTCATCACCATTGAAAATCAGACCTCCATATCCAACAATTTTCAATAATAATATTTGCGAAAATGGGGACGTTATTGGGTGGCCTGTAGGAACAGGTATGTCCGTGAGTTGCGGTCATTAATATTGTTTTATATTACTTTTTAAATGTATTGTAAGTATACAATTTATATTAAGTTTTTATAAATTTCTATTTTTAGATGTTAAATCTGTTCCTGTCATGGCTGGTTTACACAGTGGCAGCAGTTTGAGTGCGATGTATGAATCTTTACACAGTCAGTTGAACAGAATAAGGAGTATAAAAAAGTTCCATGCATTCACAGATTCTGGTTTAGAAGAAGATGAGTTTAAAGAATGCCTTAGCCATTTACTCGATTGTAAAGAAAATTATGAAGATCGTTACATCTGAATAATTAATTTTATCGACGATTATTTTCGTATTGCGATCACAATACATTGTTTCATTTATAAAGAAAAAATTTGTCTCTTCATCTCCCTATTATTTCGTATTTTATTTTCATTACTGTACGTAATATCAACAATTCAGTTGGAGATCGTGCAAGGGGCAAGATCAGTGTTACTAACCGAGGAAACCAAACGAACAAGAAATTCGTTTTCCTTTTGTACCTTGTAAATTCCTGATAGAAACATCCCTAAAACTAGGAGTGGTGAGACACACCTTGATTATTAGATTTCGTATTGATCGTTGGAGGTGAGAAAACTCAGTTGCAAGCTTTAACTGGTAAATGAAACACGGTATAATACGTAGATTTACAGTTACTCAGCGAGCATCGTTAGTATCGAATAAAATGGGAAACAAGGTAGCTACATTTACCGAGGAACAACTAGAAGATTATCAAGACTGCACCTTCTTCACTCGGAAAGAAATCTTAAGGTACTACATGCACGTATCATTTACACAATCTCCAGATTCGTCTTTTACACGTCGATACTTTTTTAGAATATTTAAACGATTTCGGGACATGGGAAACGCTGGGACAATTCCACGATGCATGACGCCTCAACAAGCATCGACACTTCGTATACCATTATCTTGTTTGACACGCATACCAGAATTAAAGGTTCTTAAATTATCTTTTCGCGCTCGATGAAACTCGTTTCGCATACATCAGTGTTTACGATGTTTCAGGAAAATCCGTTTAGACAACGGATTTCGGAGGTGTTCACGAGATGCCAGAATTCGGAACAGTCAACATCCGATGCCTCGCACGAAGGAATCTGCTTCGAGGAGTTCCTCGAGATGATGTCGGTTTTTTCGGAGCAGGCACCGCGGGACTTAAAGGTCTTTTACGCCTTCAAGATTTACGGTACGGACCACCACGTGAACCACACAACCGGATGGATCGTGAGAGATCTTTCAGGTTGCGCTCGGTGTACCTATAGCTGTTGTATCGAATCGGAAATACATACGGCGTCTAGACACGATATTCGCGTTGCGAGAAAGCTATTTGCACGAAGATAGACTATCGATTTTCTTTCCAGTCTAACCAATTACGATTTTCCACCGTAATCCAATCGATTCGATCATATTCCAGCTATATCGGTTAATTTAGCGTACACCGCGATTGCGGTTAAAAAGAAATTTATACGAATCGTGATAACGTGTTACATCTTTCTTTACGAACAGATTTTGACGAAGACGGGGTATTAGGGTTGAACGATTTAGAACGCACCTGTCGACAGCTGGTGCAAGGTGGTTTGAATGCCGACGAGGTGGCTACTGTGTGTCGAAAAGTTTTGGAGGAAAGCGACATCGATGGCGACGGTGTTTTATCCTACTTGGAGTTCGAGCATGTCGTAACAAGGGCTTCGGATTTCATGGCAACGTTTCACATAAGAATTTAACTTCCATTGCTTTGGAGAGATAATAAAATTTACTGCCATTCTATGTAACGCATACGCTTACTCAGTTTTTGTTACGTACACACATGTATACCATAGAATCTCCTCATTTGCTAATTCCAGATATCGATACTTGCCGTATATTTTGAAACTATGGATCGTGCATCCTCGATATTTTACGAGTTACAAGTACCAGGAGAAATGTTTTGCAAACTCATCAAGGATAATTATTAGCTCTGCGAATCTGTACACGCTTAGTGAAACGCTACCATATAGTTTCTTGCGAGTCACAGATATACTTTCTTATACGGCCCCATAAGTTGCCCCTGTTGAGCAATAACGAGCAATGTTGGCTAAATAACCAGGCCATTCATTTTCACTGCAGACAGGAACCTCGTGTAACTCCTCGAGCCAAGTCCCCAATAACGTCTGGGATTTTTTCCAAAAATGTATAAATCAACTTGGCGTGTAGCGCGCAAAAGGGACGGGAAAGAAACAGAAGAAACGTAGAACGTGGAACGAAATGTAAAGGGCATTGTTAAAATGTAACCGTTCGATCTCGCTGTTATAGAGCAGCGTCG